GGAAATATTTTTTCTCGTTTAACAAAAGGTAAACATGTAATTCGAAATTTTGTCCCCTGGTTAATACATTTACGAAATTTCTTAATTTAAGCATATGGCACATATGTGGCCAAGAAATGGCAAGAGGCGACTTGCTTTGAACATAAGGTGTGACTTAGTTAATTTGACTTTATAGATTTGAGCTAGTAAATAGTTGGGGGAAAAAAATCAGAAATAATATGATTTACAACTGCTAACGAAAAATAGTCATAATTTCAAAAGTAATCGAATTTTAGTCATTTTTTTATATAAAAATAAAATCTAAACAAAAGCATCCTTAAAATCCAAAAAATTCTAGCATAATCTATTAGAGTTCGAATTTTTTACATATGAGATTCCAGCATAATATGCTTGAATTTCATAATGTGCCGGAGTTCCAACATATATGCTGGATGTTTAAACGCATGAGCTACATAATCCAATATATTATACTGGAGCTTTTCGATTTTCATCTATGGTATTTTTGTTCAGATTTTATCTCCGCATAAAACAGTGGCTATTTTTCAATGGGGAAAAGGTTCAAAATTGCCCCTCTACTATGGTATATTATTTACTTCTGCTACCCGTTATACTTTTCATCCAAATCTATTCCTACTGTTAACAAAGTTTGCATAATTGCCCCAAAACCTAACGTCCTTCCACTGTGGCAGCCAACCCCTCTAATATTTTGTCCATGTCAGCTGCCAAGTCAACAGAGTTCTTCAAAATTCAATTTCAATCGTTCTTCCTTTTTTTAAAACCTCAAATTCGAATTCCAAGAGACCGAGCAGCTTATGGTGTTCGAATCCTCTCCAAACGGAATCAAATATCAGTACAAGCTTCGCAAGGTATTTCTCACAATAAATTTGAACACCTAATTGATTTGAGTCATAACTTCAATGAATTTCGAAATTTGAGAGCCTCGACTCGTCAATCGGATTTTACGGATTCACTTATAATTCTAGATTTCGAGGATTCTTCGACGATTTGCTTATCAAATTTAGAACAAACATACTTCAGACCTCCGAAAATGCAAACCCATATTCGAAGTTCTAAGCTCGGCAATGGTGGCCTAGTTCTAAACCCCAAATCACTGACGGGATTTCAAACCCAACTTATAATTCTAGATTTTAAGTCAATCGGATTTTACGGATTTACTTATAATTCTAGATTTCGAGGATTCTTCGATGATTTGCTTATCAGATTTAGAACAAACATACCCCGGACCTCCGAAAATGCAAACCCAAATTCGAAGTTCTAAGCTCGGCAATGGTGGCTTAGTTCTAAACCCCAAATCACTGACGGAATTTCAAACCTAACTTCCCAATCCAAGTTTCAAGAGAAGAGATCAAGGATAAATTTTTAGTTAAACACGAGATTTCTCGATGAAGAACAAGAATGAGTGAGATTTCAGATTTTAGAAGCAAACCATGAAGAACAAATATGAAGCAGACACGATTTTTATATTTTGGATAATTTTTTAGTTAGACGCCTGATTTCTCAATGAAGAACAAGAACAAATAAGGTTCCATTGCTTGTGTTTGAATCATTTGGTGGCTGTTGGGTGGAAAGTGAGTTGAACATTACCAGCACCTAGTGCTAGGTTAGCTTGGAGATCGAAGTTGTGGCTGGAAAGGTTTTATTCAGATTTGAGGAGAGAAAATATATGTTGTTGTTTATTGGGAATTAAATTCAGTTGGTTGTGTGTTTGTTGAGCTGAAAATTCACTAAGATCTGGAGTAGAACTTTTTAAGAACACCATTACCTGGGTTCGTTGGGCTTAAAGCTTGAATTTTTAAAAGATAATTAGGAGTTATTTGTTGTCCGGGTTTGATTTGGAGCTAATCTTTGATCTTTAAAACATCTGAACTTAACTACTTGGGCTATAAAATCGTGATTAGCTACTCTGGAGATAACTTGGAACTAGAAAGAGATCTAAAGACTCCATTGGAAGCATTCATCAAAGCTTCAAATCTGGTGGTTTTGATCTTTAAATGACGACCAAAATAATTCTTGAGTTAAGACTTAAGAGAGGGAGAAGAAGATGAGAATATTTTAATAAGAAATGGGGTGGGTTAATTAGTGGGACCTGCAGACTTGGCAGCTGACTTGGACAAAATATTAGAGGGATTGGCTGCCATGGTGGAGGGACGTTAGAGTTAGGGGCAATTATACAAACTTTGTTAACGGTAAGGATAGATT